GCTTCCATGACAGATCTTTATGCCACTTAGATCATGACACGTGACAGTACGTGAACAACAGGAGATTTCTTTTGATAAAATTGTGGTGTGTGAAATTGACAAAGGAAAATTCAGAATTCATGATAAAGATGATGTTCTTTACTAGAGTCATGTCATACGAACAGAACCTAAAAGAATGTCAATTGAACTGAAAGCCAACCTGAGAAACACACGTGTGTCCGTGTGTAACATACATGAATTTATACAAAGCATTGAATAGAAGAAAATGTGTGGTAGTGAGAGAGAACAACGTGTTGTATATGCCAAGATGTTGAGCACAATACTGGTTCATTATTCTCATCCTAGATTGCATACAATAGCATCCTCATTCCAGCTGATTTCCAGAGGTCTTTGGGTAAGTTAACTCCTTGATCCCTCTCGAAGTTCTACAAATTCTCAAGTTGTATCTAAACAATATTATTTCAGTTCGCGATTAGCAACTTGTATGCCAAAAGCGAAACACTAAACCTTGTTTATATATATACATTTGTATAAACGAGCAAATGGAGTTTGAGCTCAATCCCAAATGGGCAAACCTTGCATCCAGTGATGTCTTTCATGAGGATAACATAATGTTTTCTTCTTTTTTTCTACCTTCTGGTGTGTGTGTTCCAAGGTCCAACTTCATAATTCTATATAATTCTATTCTTAACTGTTAGTGATCATTCACTAAACAACTTGCTTTCAAATATCCAAGCAAATAAGTGATTCTTTCAAAACCTTGATTCTACAAAAATGCCTTAGTGAGTGGTTCTTATATTAGTGGGACTTTACTCTATAAATAACTAGCTATAGTTACACTAGTATTATCATGGTTAGTATGGAAATGCTAAGAAACCATAACCATAAAAAGGGTATGTTTAATTTACTTAAGATTTACTACATTTAAAAACTTAACCACACAGCATATAAAATTTTTAGAGCAAAGTCTAAGCCCCCTCACTTTGGAGCAAGTTCATTTCCTACCTATCAATCTACTGACACTAGTTGTGTTGTTCAAGTTCCAATGTCTCTGGGAACTCAATTCCACAATCTAGAGCCTCCCTTCATAGATGAAAAGATATATGTGCTTGTTCATTAACTGTCAAGTTAACTGAATTTCATCTATCCCATCATAGTTCAAAGTTCCGAAATCCTGTCATTACAAGCCATCCCTACAGCTAAAAACTCCATTAATTTGGCCATTGAAACAGTTTGCTTCTGTCTGAAACTTTTTTCTCTAGGGTTCGTTAGTTCTGAGATCAGCTTCAAATATATTCTCCAAGCAAATCTGAGCTTGGATGGAGCTTCATACTGGCCGTTACAAACGACACAACAAAGATCCTCGGACACGCGCTTTATCCATCTCCTCTGCAATTCAAAGAAAGCAAAGTGAATAACAATAACAAATCTTCCGTTGTCGCCTTCAGCACTAACTTTGTGTTCTCCATAAGCCCCAAGTATCCTGATATTGGAGGCCATGGCCTAGCCTTTGTTCTCTTATCAACCAAAGAACCAATGGGTTGTCTTTCAAACCAGTACTTGGGTCTCCCAAATGACACTAGCAATGCAGAATCCTCCACACGAATACTTGCAGTAGAGTTTGATGTTGTCTAAAACTCTGAACTCCTAGACATCAATGATAACCATGTAGGAGTAGATGTATCCAGTTTGATCTCTAATATTTCTGAACCAGCTGCATACTACTTAGCTGGAAACGACGACGACAACAGCAACAACTCCATTATTCTCAAGAGTGGAAACCCCATTCAGGCATGGATCAAGTATAACAGCCAGAAGAAACTGATAAATGTTACAATATCTCCCCTCGGCATTTTGAAGCCACCTCGGCCTCTAATATCTTTCCCGGTCGACCTCTCATTGGTGTTAGATGAGTAAGTGTACGTGGGCTTCTCTGCTTCAACAAGCTTGCTTGCAGCCTCCCATAATGTGCTGGGATGGAGCTTCAGTATTGGGGGAAATGCACAAGATTCAGATCCTTCAGAGCTCCCATCTCTGGTAACAAGAACAGAAAAGGTAGTGCAAAGGAAGGGATTTGTTGGAGGCATCTCCTTAGCTAGTGTGACTTTAGCCCTCCTGGTTATGTCTGGTGTTTTTCATGTCCTAAACAGGAATAAAAATGGGGATGAAACCCTAGAAGACTGGGAAATCGAGTTTGGAGCTCACAGATTCAAGTATTTAGAGCTCTGTGCTGCCACGAGAGGGTTTGGAGATAGGAATCTTATTGGGTCTGGAGGATTTGGGGGAGTCTATGAAGGAGTTATCCCCAGCACAGGGCTAGAAGTGGCAATAAAACGAGTTGCTCCTGACTCAAGGCAGGGGTTGAGAGAATTTGTTGCAGAAATAGTGAGCATGGGACGGCTTAGGCATTGAAACCTGGTGCAGTTACATGGGTGGTGTCGAAGACAAGATGACCTCCTTGTTTACGACTATGTACCAAATGGAAGCCTCGACAAGCTATTGTTTGACACCCACCACAAGAAGAAAATACTGACTTGGGAACAAAGATGCAAAATCCTCATTGGCATTGCACAAGCACTGCTAACCCTTCATGAAGAATGTGACCAGAGAGTTGTTCACAGAGATGTGAAGCCAAGCAATGTCCTGATAGATGCAGACCTCAATGCCAAGCTTGGGGATTTTGGCCTTGCCAGAATTTACAAACATGGAATAGATCCACAGACAACCAACATTGCAGGGACATTGGAGTACCTGGCCCCTGAACTCATCAAGACTGGTAAAGCTACAACAAGCACAGATGTATATAGTTACGGTGCACTTATGCTAGAGGTTACTACTGGAAGGAGGCCAATCGAGCGACAGAGGAAAGCCGAAGAACTGGTATTGGTGGATTGGGTTCGGGAACTACATGCTCGAGGAGATATCACCAGGGCCATTGATCCCACATTAGACAAGTACAACCTGAATGAAGCCAAGCTCATGCTCAGTCTTGGCCTGCACTGCTCCCATCCCCATCCTGATCACAGGCCTAGTATGAGAAGGGTTGTGCAGTTCCTGTTGGGGGATGCTAGCCTTCTCAGTTACCTCCTGATATTCACCTTGAAGCCTCTGGACTCGACATCTATGCAGATGATTCGATCCTTCCTGTGGTAGAGTAACTTCATCTAAGAGTACTAGTTTCTCAAGCTTTGCATGAAAGTTTCTGCGAAGCAGGTCACAAGAGGTATTTTTTAAATACTATGAACATGAAAGTATTATGCCCTCCTAAAAAGTTGAATGTTTGCAGTAGACATAATCCAGTACTGCTTCAAGCTTGGAAAGAATCTTTTCTCCTTTTCTCCTTCTATTTTTTTTATTTTTTCCTTTTTTCAGTTTTTGCTTTTTTATGTGATTCAATCTTCTTATATTTTGAGAATAAAACTTGTGTTTAAATAACACTTCCCAATCACAAACACTTCTATTTGAAGGTTAACTGAAGATTAACTGAAACTTAGTATCTTTCACACAAATTTGCACACTTTCTTACTTCTTATTTAATGTATGTAGTGTGGATTCGGTAAGGGTTTGGTGTAGTAAAAACTCGGGCTGAAAAGCGTGTGCGCTCTTAAGTTTGAAGAAAACCACTTCATGAAAATACTACCAAGTCTATAACTAATTTACTACTCCTAGCACCCTCAAAAATGGGAACCACACAGAATAGTGACACCTTATAAGACATACTTAACTATCACAAGATTATTATGACATTGGTGGAAGGTGACTTGAGCAGCTTTCAATATAAAAATGAAACAAATTGTTGCAATGATCTAGTCACATGCCAAAATGACTAAAATCATGGAAAGAGATGTGTCAAGGAGCTGGACACTTAACCCTGGATGCAACGGAAATATAGGTAAGATTGGACTATCAACTCCAACCCAAACTCAGAAACTTAAGAAGTCGGGGGCCAACTCCAATCCAACCTCGGAAGCTTAGCATCCCCATTGATTGGATAGGGCTTAGGTAAGACAACCATGTGGAATTCCCAAAGGCTAAGCTTTGAGTGGGTAAATAGGTTAAAGAACAGGTCTAAATCAAATTTGAACTTCAGAATTTGTTCACAACATCAAAGGACTGACCGTGATATGTTCGTGATCCTCCTAGAAATGAAATCAGGACTTAAAAGTCTTTCTCCTTAAAAAATTGAAGATTGAACATGAACAATGTAAATTCCAAGTGCAGATCAGAAACGTTCGCTCATCAAGATGTTTCCAGGATCATGTTCTTGAAGATCCAATCAAGAAGCGACTGAAGAATGAAGATGACTGACCTGGTATGTGAGCACGAGATTTGCAGCAATAATGGCTTGTCAGCTGTTCAACCATCTTTGAAGGGGTAATTCAAGTAGCACGATCATATTCTTGAGACTCCATAGTGGCATTAATTTAGTCAGATTAAGATTTGAACGGGTACCAAGATAATAATGAGGTGATTTTGGTAAAAAAAGATACAGCCCTGAATTCATAAAATTTAACTATAAAAAAATTGTTAATTTGTCCACTTCAAATTGTTGACTGGTGATTTTATGACACAGGGAAATGCAGGAGAACAAAAAGTCAATAGACTAAACATTTAAAGAGTTCTTAACAAGTTCAGCAATTTGGTCAATTTTCAGATTGACCTAGGTTCAGCAATTTGGTGAAGAAAATGACCTAGGTTCTCAAATTTTGAAACCCCTTTTAACAAAAGAAAGCAATGGCTAAAATTTGAGTGGCCTGGAGATAACAAAACCACATTATAACTCCTAGACCCTATAGTTGCCCGTAGAGTTCCTAAATTATAAGAAAGAAATCTTAATATAATCCAAAAATAAATGCTTGTAAGTTCAACATAGAGTCCCTATATTATATCAAAAATCCTAATAGAATCGAGCTAATATAGGCTTACAATCTAAGAATCGCATGGAAAGTTCTAATTCAAGCATCATATCCTGCACTTGGGACAGAAGTTAAAGTCATGGCTAAACGAAACGGAAAGTATAAATATATTTGTAAACTAAGATAAAATTGACTACCGATAATTTCTCTTTCACAATAACAAAATAGAGAGTTTGAAAAAGGGACAAGGAAAGAATTATAGCTCACACATTTGACCATTATCTGTACTTGAGATGATTAGAAAAAAAAACAATTCCAATCAAATAGCACTCAATGGGATTTACATTAGCTAGGTCCTCAAGATGACCTGATGCAAATTAAGCTGATTGTGAATCTGTCTGAATTTCTCTTTAAGCCGTTGTATCTGCAAAATCAAAGTACGTTTGAACAACAAGAGAGAGAATGCCAATATTAAGAGTTAAATGGACAAAGAGAATAACACAAATATAAAATATACCCGTTTCAGCTCGATCTCTGCTTCTCGCTTCTGCTGCCCCAGTGAATATCGCATATTAGTGATGTCAAATATATTGTCCAGGTCATCTTCATATGCAGATTCTAAGTCCTCCCGAAGGAGTGCAGGCAACTTGTCCACAACCGGCATTAGAAGAAAGCAATTGAACTGGAAAACAAAGATGAAAGAGCCAAGGGAGAAACGCCAGTATGAAACGAGCCTAGCTGAATGAGCTCAATTTAACCAATGCTAGAAGATGCATTGAGAATAAGCATCATACAAAAATTGATACCTTTAATTCTGCAGAAGCCAAGAAATACTCTCTTATGCCATGGAATATCTGTTGTACCAGAGCATATACAATCCTTTCAGATGAAGGAGCAAGCCTCCTGTTCCAAAGCGTGCTATCTAAAAGGTCAGCCAGCCTTGTCTCTGTTGTCTGAATATTCGCACTCGAGTCAATGCCAGAGGACAAATGACTGAGTTTTACATCTGCCCTTGGCTTAATGTCCTGCTTGTCATTGGCCAGTGACCCAAATGCTGACTCCTGAGAAAGGCCAGCAGATGTAGAATTACCACTTATAGTAGATTGTTCTGTTCCCCCAAACGAGTCCAAGAATTTACGTAATCCAGCCCGATTCTGCAAAGTTAGCATAAGATGAGAATGCATGCTGCAAATGATTAGTCCCAAAACCAAACTGACAATATACATGTAAATGATAACTGTTTTAAGTTCTAAATAAAGCACAACAGTCTCACTTCAAAGACTAAAGAAAGCAGAGAACCCATTCAAATTGTGAATGCCTCAAAGTCGACTAAATTAACCTTATTGTGGAGTGACCAGGTAACATAACGGGTGGTGCTCATTAAATCCTCCACACATCTGGCAACAAATTTATGGAGAATAAATAGGATGTCAGTATTAGTTTAAATCAGATCAGAGAGCAAATAACAATCAACATGTGCACAAAGAAGTGAGAAGTTTACATGAACAAGTAATTGAAATAAGAACTAATATATCTCTTAAAAGAAAATTTTAAGGCTTTCGTCCCAAACCATAGCACACCTGACATTTTTTAACATGACGGTTGACAGCAGAACCATCATCAGCACAATTTGAACAGAAGAATATAGTAACACAAGGTTGGAAGAAGCACATTTGAGTAGAGCATGTAAAATTTGCATTCGGAAGCTTCCAAAACAAGGAACCCTTAGCATACCCGCAATCACTCCCAAATTAAGGGTATTGGCCAAGTCCGCCCCCATGACCTAAAGAAGAGACCTCAAGGTTGTGCTCAAAGAAAATATGCCAACTCAACCATCCCCGTGAGGGTTAAGAGTGTCAAGCTACATTGGTTGTTCCCATATGCATCTTTTTTGAAGTACTTTGTCTAGTTTAATATATGGTAAGCATCTGTTAGGTAAAGAAAATGTTGAATTTTGTATTCTAATTTTGTGAACAAATAGATATCCCAAAGACCAACTGTACTACTTCATCTGTACTCTCTTTTTTCCAGTGGCTGCCAAATACTCTCAATATAAAATAACCCAGTGATATTTCCCATTTATATGCTAAGATGGATGAGTGGAGTGACTAGGAGGGATAGGGTTACTAATGAGAGAGAGAAAAAATAGAGGTGGCTCCCATTAGTGAGAAAATTAGAGAGTAGACTCGGATGGTTTGGACACCTACATCAGAGATCTAGAGACGCACCGGTCAAACAAGGAAGACTAGTTGTAATAGAAGGTAAGAGAGAGGGCGACCACAAATAACATGGGATGGGGTTATTAAAAATGATATTAAAAAGCTAAATATAGCATGCGAAATGGCATGTAATAGGAAGGATTGGAGAAAGAGAATTCATGTGGCCAATCCCATTCATATGGCATTAAGGCAAGGATGATGATGATGATGAAATTTCCCATTTATAAGCTCAGACTAACAGAAAATGAAGTTAAATAATCAACAAGTATCACAACACAAAGGATAAAGTAAATGCAACATTTTTATCTTAATAGTTACCACTACCAAAAGGTTGCTCACGTTCACTCAAAATTCCAATAATGATCACATCTAGGAGTTCTATAGTTTTATTAGTGGATAGTTGTAACGGGTGGGCGCTTGCCCATTTACCCAAAAGCTTAAGCTATTAGGTAGTGTTGCATACCCACCCATTTATCCCCATTCATTTTTCCATCCGGATCCGATGTGGGACAAGCTCTCCCTTGTAACATTCTCTCCCACCTGAACTCGCAACGCCCTCATTGTAGCTCAGGCCACCCTGCCTACCTGAGGTGAAAACCCGGATGCCCTCCGGGCCGAGCGCTTGGCGTGACAACAGATCAAGGACTTGGTCTGTATCTGATACCAATTGTAACGGGTGAACGCTTGCCCATTTACCCAAAAGCTTAAGTTATTAGGTAGTGTTACATACCCACCCATTTATACCCATTCATTTTCCCATCCGGATCCGATGTGGGACAAGCTCTCCCTTGTAACAATAGTCCTATACTAATTTGAAGAAGTTGTCCATGATATATTATAATGACTGAACAATTGATGTTTCCATAGTATGTCAACAATTGTGATTGGCATAATTAGGCCACTCAATTTGCTCAATAGACTCTTGGCAGCTTCAAAGTCACAAGCATCAAAATATCCACTATTATGGTTCAGCTGAATCCATCCAGCAATTTATAGGAAGTTCACAGAAACTTGAAACATATGAATATTATAAAGAATGGACTAGAATATAAAATGGATGAAACAAAATGAAGGCAAGTGATTTAACTTTTCACGGCAAGCTCTTTCAGTGGATTCTGCAAAATTGTTGAAGGCAGAGGCAACACGTCTTAGAAACACCTCGTGGCCACTTAGAAATTCACCATCTTTCTGTTGCAAACATGTTCAGTTACATGTAAATGAGTTATCATAAGAGGAATTAACAAACACTAATTGCATGAACTTTAGGAAGAATTTTTTATCAATATAAGAGATAAAAACTAGCAATCCAACAAATAGCCCATACCTGAAGAAGATAGACAGAAATGGGAAACAATCTCTTTAGGATGTGCAAGAGCCTGCAGCCCAACTGTAACCAGAAAAGAGGAATCTTAGTTTAAAGTAAATATAGATGAGGAAAAGTTAGGAAAGAAGACAAAGCAGGAACATGCAATTTGCAAAAATAATATAAGTGTATAGTAGAAAAATTATCATCAGACAGCATACCAAAAAGTTTTTTGTCGTAATAGTTAAATGGCAACGTTATATGCAGCTTCATTCACAAGTAGTGCGAATGGAGATGGGAGGACAGAAAATAAGGGCCTGCTTATTTGCTGACATAAAACTGTTTGACACTTGACACATACCTACCCAAACTAATGTTGCGACTCGTGGGGGATATGTAACTCAAAGACCACCAAAGTTACAGCACAAAACGGTAAAAGAAAATTTGAGGCGGCAAGATTGAATTTATCACCTGATGAAGAAAAGGTTCAAATGTATCACGAGCCTTTGCAACAGCAATTACGCAAGCCGTCCTAATAAATGGGCGGGGAGAGAAAGAGAGAGTGAATCAGAAGAGAGCAACTTAACTATCATTAATATCATAAATTTGAAGAGGCCAGAAGATGATAGTCACCTGGAATAGTTTGTTCCATCATGAATATCTTCGACTCCACATGCATTTACGATTTCTTCCCGTGTGATTGGGGGGCATTTGATTCCTCCAACAACAAAACGAAATTCAGCCATTGCACGATGATATTGAGCACCCCCATAAAGACGCATCTCCGCATTCTACACACAATGTAAAACAAGTTCCCACATGCACTCGGATGGACTCCAAAGAAAATGAAAGGTGGATAACCAAATCTACTATAGCCTTGTCACATTATTCATACAACTCAAGCATCTAGTGGAAGAACTATGAGCAAGAAAACTAATCAAGAAGTGTCAATAGGAGAACTGCAAACCAACTTCCTAAACACCATCATAAACAGAACTCAGTTACTGACCAGGATTACCTATCCAAATACAATAGGCAGAGCCTTTCGTAATTCGCTAATTTCATATAAAATACCAACAACTTAAGGTTTTACAAGTTTCCACTTTGTTAGGCAGATTAGGCAACTTTAGGTTCAAGTTCTCTTTTTGAAAGGCCACAGCTGTATAAACATGTTTAACCTAGCAATTCAAATACACAGGACAAATTTTCACATTTTCTTTTGAAAAGAGTGTGCACACAAACATTTAGAAGTATGCTCAATTTATATGCAAAAAAAAAAATAGGTGGACTTTTGTGAGAAACATACAGATGTAGGACGGGATATTCAGGCTAATTACGATGCTTTATTTTTGTATTTTTCGTTTTTAAACCGATAGATTTTTATTTCCATATTTTAAGTCATTTTTAGGTTTCTAATACTTAAATTTGTCTTTTCGGAGTAACCACATTGCTAGAATAATTTTTAAGTTTCAAATTTTATGGTTTCACTGTTGGTAATTTATCTCTATATCAGGCAGTCAGATAAAATTTCAACTTTCAATTGACAAGACTAATATGAAGCAGAAGACAGTGTAACAACATGATAAATAATCTGAGGAGAATGAATGCAGTAAACGGAGAAAAAGGTGCTCCAGACTATTCAGGAAGTATTGTAACTTCTTGTATTGCGGAATATGCAAGACATGCAAAGGCGTCAACTATTCTGCTCATAGAGATATACATGGCATGAAACTTTAAGAGCTTACAGGAATTAACTTATGTGGAAACTGAAGACCGTCGGTACCAATAAATGCCCCTCCATTACCCCTCTCATCTTGTAGTGTTTCCCCTGCAACCAAAACATAGTGAAGCTATTAATGGTTAACAGAAAAGCCTAGAACAAACATTATATATCAATAAAACATAAAAACAGAAATGAATATTATTTGGAGAACAAACAAATTGTACCAACGGCCGTGGCCTAGCAGTATCAGCCTCTTACTTCCCAAAGGGAGGTCAGGGGTTCAAGTCTCAGAAGAGACGTGAACTAGGAAGAAAAAAAAACTTTGTTTACTTGGTTGAAATATCAAAATTCTATAAGTAGCATCAAAATGGTTTACCAAATTTATCTGGAGGTGCAACAACTGTCCCTTTCAATAACAATGACAACTGAGTACGAAAACAACAATCCTGGATCAGTTCAGTACCAAATAAATTGAAAAAAAAATAAAAAATTTGAGAACAATCATAAATCACTCTTAAGTATCAAATAATTTAAAATATGAATAAATAACATGAAGAAAGACTCTCAACAAGTCCCAAAGAAACTAATTAAGGGCCTAACACAAACGCTCTTCAATACTTCCCTGAACAATTTTCATCTAAGGAGTTATTTGAACCCCAAACAAAGAACCCTAATAAAAAATCATAAATTTCGGATAAAAATTAAGGCAGAGCAGATTTTGTGGTGACAATAAAGAATTGAATATAGGATTTCTTCAAAAATAAATAGGAAGGCTTCATTTTACGGAAACCTTGGTCAGGAACAGATCATGAAAAGCTCTTCCTTTCTCCTTTAGTTTTACTTCATCCAAAGTGCTGTAAAAAAAAAAAAAAAAAAAAAAAAAACTAATTGAATAAAAGCTCTAATCACAAAAGCATACAAACAAACAAATAGATGACAGAAACACCACAACACCAACAACCCCCCAAACCCAAAATAAATAAATAAAAACCCTTGACGGACAATTACAAGGTTATAAGTTATGTCTACGGCTAAACTACCTCAAAACCAAGTAGATTAATTAGTTATACTACAAACCTGAGCTCCTGATTTATTTCACTTAGCTTCCTTGTTGTGCTCCGGTACTCTTTTTCAAGAAGTGGAATGATCATTGGAACACTGTCCATATACCTTACCACAATATACATCTTAACTCTTCAGCAATAGAACATAATAAATTGATGTTGAACTGACCATAATCTGAAGAGAATAAAATTAAAAACAAATTACCTTTTCTGTAGCAATTCCTCCAAGAATAGCCTAAGGCTGCTTACACCTATCCTGCTTCTTTCTTGCTTTGACAGTGGGCGACCCAGCTTCTCCTCCAAAGATGCTATGTCTTCCATCTCTCTTAAAGAAATAGCCTGCAACAAGAAGTACATGATAACAACCATAATGTTCTGGAGATGAAAGAAGAAAGAAAATCTATAAGACATACATCACTGGTGGTTATAACCAATTGTCTGACTTTTAGGAACACTACCACTCTTAAATTGATCGTCTTTTTCCTTTTTCTTTTTCTTTTCTCCCAGCTTGTTCATACTTATTAGCATGTAATACTAATTTTAGTATATTACTAAGTCGGGCTGATAGTGCAACTGCACTACAATTTCATGAGATATTTGGTACAATCACAGAGATGAGAGATTATGATTGGGTAAATAAATTTCTTTAATTAGTTTAAACATAGCACACAGATAACTGATGTGGGAGCAGGTGTCTCTACAATATTATGGAATTTCTTTTAATGATTAGTATTATTGAATATAGAGGGGTACTGCAGGAGGTTGACAATCTTCAGTCAAAATTTTGTTTTCATACACGCTGAAAAGCTGAACCTCTGCTTGTAAGAAAATGAGGATAGTTAAAATAACAAAAGAATTGAGATAAAAATGAAAAGGGGAGGGCATAAAATGAATGGAGTTAAGCAGTGAGTCAATCACTGCCAACTGATTACCGTAATGCAAGTCAATCCAACTGTAACAGATAGATGAAAAATCATTCAGTATCCGAAACTGATAACATACTTCTCCAAAACAGTAACTATTTGGGATGCTAGCATCTAAGCTTTCCAACTCGATTTAGTATGAACCAACAACTCCACAAAAGACTCACTACCTAGCACTGTAATGAAACTAAGTAAATAAGAATTATGTACTACAAGCAGCCAACTTCTTTATTGTGCATATGATACCTCAATTCAACTCAATAAAGTTTAAGACCAGCTACATGAATCTTATTTACTCATTCCAGTCTAACTAGGCCATAGTCGCAGTTAAATCACATAATATCATATCTTTCTAATTATCTCAACCCATGTTAGTTCTGGTTTTCTCCTTTCTCTAGCATTACCCCAAATAAAGACGTCGTCACTTTTCCCAACTAATACAGCTATTGAGTATTGGCTATCACTCCACATGGCCAAACCATCTTAATAGGTTTCCTCTCATATCATCTTCAATCAGTGTTATTCCAACAATTTCACAGATATGTTCATTTTTAGTATTTTCTTATTTGTTTTTTCCTTGCCAAACACCCATCTTATCATTTACATTTCTATCGCACTCATTTTTTGAGTATATTATTTTTTAACCATGTTAGGTATATCAGTCGTGTGTTGGAAAATTCCTACTCAAAACTTGTGCTGTAGTGCGTCAAAGTGTCTTGAGTCGTTCGAAGAAATCTATTGAAGACATGGCAGACACCAAATTGCAAAGAACACGGCATGAAATTTGCATATTTCAATCACATAACTAGGGCACAAGTAAAACGATAGTTGACCTAATTTGATCTTACTTAGCTTATAAAATTGTTTCATGACAGCTTTTGCAAAACCCATTTTTCAAAATTGAAGTTTAGATATTTTTCAGAACTGAATTTCAAACTGGAAAACAGTAGTCATCGATTAGATGGCCAATTGATCAAATTTTGTCCAGTGAGTATCGGTCAAATGATATATCAAGATCAAATTCAGTAAGCCTCGATCGAAGGATGAGTTTCCAGTAGGCTTCAATCAAAGGATCAATCGATCGAACCAAAGAGACAAATTTTTGGTAATTCGCTCAAAATACAAGTTCACGAGGAATTAATAACCTTAAACGTATGGGACTCCTATAAAGATTATAATTATGAAGTTGTAGTCAGTCTAGGTATGAGTTGAACATCTCTAAATATCTAGATAGGAAGTCCTTGTGAGAAATGTGAATCCCCAAAATTACTCAATCTAGGATTTTCATAGATTCCATCATATGTAATCGAGTGATAATCAAGGAGGAGTCAACAAACAGATCCAATTCAATTGTTTAACTATTAGAGCAGAAAGGACAAGCAATAAGTGGAGAAGCAGATTCGTGATGAGAGAAATTTATAGACGAACAGACGGACAACCTGGAGACTTTCGGGAAAAAGGTTGACGTCATCTTTATCCAGAGGTACTAGGGGTTCTACCATTCTAGGATGAGGAAACTGTTATCCTGGTTGTAATCTCTTTATCATGTAGTGGTTTGTGCCTGGCTGGACTACGTCCCGTGGTTTTTTCCTTTTTCGATTTTTAACGTAAATACATGTGTCTCTGTTATACTCTATTTTACTTTTTGTTTATTGCTTGATTCTTAAGTATGATAACTGAAAATTAGTTAGAATTTAAATGTCCAACTTCACAATAAACTAACTGAATTTCAAGAATGGTTAACTGAAATTTGAAAAATTAGTTAAAAGCAAAGTAATATCCACAATACCTATTAACCCCTCTAGGTCAAACTCACTATATCAGAGCCTAAGAATCCGGTCCTACAATTTAACAAGCTGCCCAACATTCTGTCCCCTAAAGTATGGCTAGTAATAACTGTTTTATAAAACTTACCTTTTAATTTTAGAGGTATATGCTAATCATACAAGAAGCTGGAAGCACTACTCTATTTTACGTTATCCATATGGCTTTAGTTTCATGATTAACATCGTCATAATCGAGCCTAGGTAATGAAAAAGTCACTTTTTGGTACCTCTTGAACCTCAATTTTCACTACATCCTTACTTGTAGTTTTAGTTTTACTGAAACTACATTCCATATATTCAGTTTTAGTCCTACTTATATTAAACCACTTGATTCTAGAGTTTCTCTCCAAACCTCTAGTTTGGCACTTATTTCCGCTCTAACGTCCTAAATCAAAAAGATATCATCAGCAAATAGCATACACCATGGAAGATCACCTTGAATGTTTTTTGTCAGTTCTTCCATAACAAGGCTAAAGGATACGGGCTTAATGTTGATCCTTGATGTAAAGCTATAGTAATTCGGAATTCATTTGATTCTCCTGCAGTTGCTCTTACTATGGTCACCCTTTCTTTTTTTTTTTTGATAAGTCTTACTAGGGTCACCCTTTCATCATGCATGTCCTTTAGCACATCAATGCATCCATTAATAACTTCTTTATCATCTAAAATCCACCAATTTTACATCTCTAGAAATCTTGTTGTAGCCTTTCTCCAAATGACTACATCTCATGTCTATATTCTAGATCTAATATCTTAAACTGACTTCTTTTCATGTTCTTGTCCATATTTCAGCATCCGAACATCAATAACCATCCCTTACCCATTTCTTGAACCATTTGGGTGTTAATCATCATGTTGCTTTGGAAGAACACCCTAGTATTTCTTCAAATAATGTCAGAACTAATGCTCATGGGGCTATGACAAAGGTTTTATGCTAGTTGACAGCTACCTGACACAACCCTCCTTTCTCAGAAATGAGATCGTATTTACTCTGGCTGCCAGATAGATTTTGTATTCTCTTTTTATGTCTATTCACATAATACACAAAAGAATGACTTTGATGATGTGACAAAACTCGCATCAACACAGATAAAGGCTTAAATTTTCAGTTTAAAATATTGTAGTCTGGGATTCTGGGATGTAAATTATAGATAATCTAACAGCATATTTGGACAGCGTAAGTTAAGCATATAACCATTCTTTCATAGTTTAAGATGAGAAGAAAGACTTAAAATCAAGAAACAGATCAAACTGACATAATTAATATGCTACAACCAATCACATTATGTGCCTTATATGGCTATTGAAATTCTCATCAACATTAATCTTATTATTAAAAAAAAAAAAAACTAATGTAGATTATTAGATAGAGCTGAAATAATAAAAGGACTAAACCTGCTTAAACTCATCATTTGATCTGTAAACAGATTCATGTCCAGAACCAACTCTTCCAGAAGGCACGGATGTAAAAAAGGGGGAGTCACCCAACATGAATCCATCAAGTGTACATGCAAGTGGTGAAAGAAAAACTTCCACATCTGAAGGACGTGCAAACTGAGGTATCTTGGTATCAAGCTTCGTCGAGACAATCACAGTCCTTGAAAGATCAGGATCCACCTGTAAACAATTAATGAGAACGTTCAAGCATTTACAACCAATATCAAAGTGTGGAAAATAAACAAAGCTCCAACAATGTTGTTTTAACCACTTTGGCATATATAAAATAATTCTGTATTGTTAGAATTACATAGATAAGAGAGTCTGAGAATGTGATTCCCATGAAAAAATTAAGTCTGTGAAATGCGAAATGCACAGGAAAAATTTTGGAATTAAATTTAATAAAGTCGGCTCTAAGACTAGAGAAGAACATACTTGCATTACCACCCTCCGAGTCGTTGCATTGCTCCAATCATTGCAATCTTCAAGGCATAATATGATAAACTCTTTGTGCTGTATTTTAGCTCGTACTAGGGACTCCACTGAACGAGCTTGAACCTGCCATGCATGGACCACAACATTCACCACTATTCCTAATGATGATGTCAAAATGGTTAGCCTAATCATTCATTGGCATGAGAATCATGAGACTGTACCTGTGAAGTTCGATTTTTTCGACCTGGAGCAGGAGCAGTAAGTCCTGGAGTATCTATGATGGTGAGGTTTGGACAATATTTATATTCTACTTTAATTATTATTTCCTTGGCAGAGAATTGACAAGGTTCACTCTCCAACCTCATGTTTTCAGCTTCAATGTATGCCTTCATCGAATTATATAAAAAAGAACTAATAAGTTACAAACGCACAAAAATTGTTCTAATCCGTTTCAAAAGAAACAAAAAGTAGATCTAAATATAAACATCAACAGCACTGCATATTGGAATCAACTAGTAAACGAAGTTCATTCTGTTAATGTGAATCTACAGCTTCTGGATTTCCATGGTTGAAAACCGGTACTTCAACATTTGGATCACATTGTACATTGCGTACAGATTTTAAAACTCTACTAACCATGACAACATTTTCAAAAAAAGGGTTATAAAGCCACATCTCTAAAGAAAAAAGAAGTAAATTTCAACTCTTTCCCCTCTGCAAAGCCTATAACCATTCTTTTACCTTATGGAACTTATACTTGCAATCTTTCAATTACATTAACCCACCAAAAAAGTATCATTGTAAATTTTCTAGTACGCCCCTTATCAGTGTACTATCTTGCTCATGGACATTCTCAAAATCCAAGCTTCAGCCTGGAATAATGGTTAAATGTTTGTAGTGACTCGGTGTATAAGACAATCCAGAGCAGAAATTACTGTCTAGTAGAAATAATTCAAAACTTCATGTTTAATCAGTCCTGGAAAGAAATTGGGGAAATTCAAAGTGAATCTACTTGGGAACAATAAAAGCATTGCTCATTGAATAAAAAAAGAAATAAGCAAAATTCCGTCATTGAGTGACAAATGGGAAATTCATAGAAAGTTACAATCCCGACCGTGGAATAGTGCACCTACATGCTTTCATGGACATTGTTTTTTGACCGGAAGACCAAGAAGGATTTGCTTTCATCCAATAATTATTCAGAATAACTTGTAAATGAAACATAAGTGGAAACTATATGCAATTTTAAAGATTCTGCCAAATAATTTTTGAGTTAGCTAACTGCTTCTGTGAAAATAGGTGAAAATAGTTCAAGAATATTTTCACAAAACCCACCTTAGACCACGAAATAAATGCAACATCAAATGCATAACTAACAGATAATTGTGTAGCATCTAAATTCAAGAATTTATCCAGCTTCTTGTAAAGTTTTCATCAACTATATGTCCAAACGTTAAAAAATCATCCTAATATTAACAATGTAGACCTCTATGGTAAAACCCATCATTACCAGATCTTGATTCTCACAGTAGCTAGCTAAATAAACAACTATGATTTGGCGTTCTCATTATCACAGTATTGACTCTAGTATTTAAATTAATCTACAACATGCATAAACAGAAATGTGTATATGTATATGTGTGTGTGTATATATACATTAACTATGACAGTGTAACCTGGATTTCTTGGAGAGACTTTTCTTGTGGGACGGTGGGGTCGGAGTCGGAGAGGAGGTGACAGAGTGGGGTGTGGCAGTGAGGGTTGTACTTCATGTGGAGGGTGATGGGACGGCGAGTCTTGGTGCCCCCGCCGACATGGTTGAATTGGAAGCCCATGAGGGCCTCCACCAGAGCGCTCTTGCCGTCCGTCTGGTGGCCGACCACCAGCACCGCCGGAGCGTCGAACGGTGTCTCGAATTCCTGAGCCAGCCCGTGAAGCTCGTTGTACGCTTCGTAAAGCCTCGACTGGGCTTCCATTTCTAGGTTTGTGTCCACTGACGACTCATCCGCACTCTTCTCCATCTCTCTCTCTACAGAGCTGAAACGGAGAGTGTTGTATATTGTAAGGCAGTGAGTTTTCTGTTCTGTTCAATGCTTTTATCCAAATTTGGGGGACTTTTGTATTTTGGATCATTTGCACATATGAACTGCGCTTAGACATTAAAACAAATCGGCCAATGGGCCCAATCCCGGCCCATCACAAGCCTAGTCATTTATACTAGGATTGAACTCTATAACAGCCACCGGCCATGGATTGAGAATTTTTAAATGTCCAACACAACCGCAAGTGTAAAAAGGGTAAAATTTAAATCATATAGAGTGGGAATCGGAGCAACAGCACGTGCCTAAGAAGAATTGTGTGACTTAAGTAACGAGTACTCACAATAATGGTGAATCTCACCAGAACACTGTAAGTAATCGCAACTTTGGTAAAACCACTGCAACAATTGTTGCAAATTGTATCAAACCTCTTTAGACGATGATGAATTCGGATTTTTTAAATACTTCATAAGTCATAATTCACTATTGGATACATGCACTAGAGAATTACTAGAAAAAAGAAAGAAAAAAAAAAAAAATCAAAATCCAGAACTCCGTAATGTGACCTAAGAGTGAATTAACATAAGAATGTGTAGTCTCTTGTGAGAGTTGTTGACTCACGGAGAGGACTGTGGTGGGCTTGCAACAAATGGTACAAAACTGAAGGCTTGTCTTGTCGCTCACTGTCAAAACGGAATATTCATATTGGAAAGTTTGGTTCTATTTGAAGGAGATACGAAAAACACTATAATATATTTATAAAAATAGTACATGCATATTGCAGTTCTCTCTTCTTCTTTTTTTTATCCTTTTTCTTCTTCTGAAATGAACCTTTTCACAAATAAAATGTATATACCCACATTATTCTTGTACTTCTATTGTTTATATTTTTTTTAGTGGCGTATCGATGTAGAGAACCGAGTATATATATGTGTGTGTATATAGTACATATATATATAATATTACTATTAATAGATTATAAAATTTTATTATTATTTTTATTATTATTATTATTATCTTTTCTTTGTGTGTCTTTCTTTGTATGGTAATGATTTTGTGGTGGTTGGATTAAAGAAAATAATGGGTAAAGGGGAGTATTATAAATAAAAAGTTAAATAGAGATATTCATAGCCCACCTGTATTTGATCTCGTTTGTTTCTTAGTCATTATATATATATATTGATTGAAACTAATGACACATATCATGTATGTCTATATATATTTTATATTATATTAAGAAAAATAATACTTGCACCGATTACTCAAGCCCAAAACTTAAGCCGAAGGTGATGTGTCACTATAGTTGCACTGCATTTAGAAAGTTAAAATTTTAAAGACAAAACTATCCTTACTAAATCCAAATTAGCAAAAAATTTCAATTACTGGTGCTTCCATGCGTCAAGACACAGAAGAAGCTTACTCCAAAGCAATCTCGTTGGCAGGAGTTTGTGGGGGAGACAAACTCGAAGATGTAGATTATGACGGATGATGTGATGTCCATGATAGACCTCTTTAAAGAACATGTAAAGGATTTGGAGGGCGAGGTGGCTCTATTGAAGAAGGCTATGCACAATCAGACTGTTGTGGGTGAGAAGCCATCATCTTCCAAAATTAATATTCTAGAACCAATGTCATTTGAGGGCAAGAGGAGTGCCAAAGATCTGGAGAATTTTCTTGTGGGATATGAAGCAATATTTTCGAGCAGCCCACATTCCAGATAATAACAAGGTAACTATTGTTGGTATGTATTTGTCTGGTGATGTTAAATTGTGGTGGCGGACTCGAATGGAGGACGAGTTACGCCCCAAAATTATTGTATTTGCAGAGCTAAGGAAAAAATTGAACGAGCAGTTTCTTCCAGCAAATTCTGGCTGGGTGGCTTGGGAGTCGTTGAGGAGACTCAAGCATACGGGTACAGTGCGTGAATATGTGAAAGAGTTCACATCTTTGATGCTGGATATCAAAGATATGTCCGAGGGGGACAAATTGTTTAATTTCATAGCAGGCTTTCAATCATGGGCACAAATCGAGTTAAGTAGGAGTGGAGTGATCGACCTTTCTTCTGCCATAGTTGCAGCAGACAGCCTGGTGGACTTGCGGATTGAAAATTCTGACTCTACTACTGCCAGCAAACTGAAGAAAAAAGGCAAGTTCGGTGACAAGCCCAAAAAGTATGGCGTTGCTGAGGAAGAGAAAGACAAAGGTAAATCAAAGGCAACATTCATCCAGCAGAGGCCAAAGCTGGACAGTGGTTGCTTCATTTACAAGGGTCCACACAGGGCGAGGGACTGTCATAAGAAGGAAAAGGTGAATGCTATAGTTGTTAAAGAAGTCAATGAAAGAGATTCAGGCTCAGATGAGGGTAATGTTCGGGTCAATATTCTTGTTATACAGTTATGATAAGTGCAGGTGGGCGCGTGGCTTTGGGGGAAAGCTATGCAGAGATGCTCACGGAGTTAATTGCCAAGGTTGGTAATGGTGAATTCCCTCTTTATTTATTTTTCTGTTTTGGGTTGCTGGTTGTGAGGATTGAATCCAAAGGTGTGATACCCCTCGATTCTAGAGCCACGGGTGATCAAGTCCGAGCACAGATCCGAGGGAATATCAAACAATTAATATTTTTAAAGCGAATACAGATGACAAAATGAATTTAATAAATAAAGTTTAAGCTGGAAGAAACTAAAAGTAAAATCCTTTATAATTAAATACTTAGAATCTGATAATCCAAAACTCCATCAGTTTAACAACTCGGGAATTCATCTCTAGTGGACCCCTAATAAAAATCCCAAACTGAATGAAAGTAAAAACTGAAAATAAAATCAAAATCTAATATTTGGAAAGAAGTCCTACGTCGTCGGTAGAATGGAAGATCGTCCCTGCTCAGCACGAACAAACTCTAGACTGGAAATGTCCGATACCTGAAAAATGATGAGTGGGTCAGGCCCACATGCAAGTTCTATACTACTACTACCCAAGCAATGACCCGATACGCATGTACATCCTAACCAATCCAACAATAGCTAATAGTCTGTAGATAAATATATATATATAATCACACTACAGGACTCTCACTGGACTACAGGCCCGTCTCAACCTGACTAGTAGGCACCATGCGAAAGCGCACCCAAAGGTGGGCATGACTACCTAGTCCTAGCAGGGTACACATCCAACCATCATAGCCAGCTATACATCCTAATACATATACGCTCCCTAACCAACGACTCTGAGACTCAGGCTCATATCGTGGCATCATAAAAATATATTTAAATTCCATTCCAAACCAAAGTGTCACTCAATTATTTATTGACCTGACACAGAAGACAGGTAGGACTTAACTTTTGTAGTTAATCCATCCCTTATTCCAGAGTAGGTAGGACTTAGCATTTTTAAGCTAATCCCCCTAGTATGTCACCGTCCCATACCAGTGCATACAAAAACATCCATCCAGAATTGATAATATATATATGACAGCATAACATATCAATATCAACATACCCAACCATAAGCATAACAAGAATGTTTAACTAGCATGCTTGCTCAATACATCCAGTACCTGATTCTCCAACGAATTTTAAATGCAGAGAATAAATATAACCATCCTGTAACTCACAATAAGCATAATAATAACTTTAACAGTATCTGCATGCTTACTTGTAATTACTCCACAACATCCCACAAGTTGACATAAACAATTGTTTTGGTAACCATCAACTAGTTCCTCATTAAGTATTAACTGAATTTATATTAGTTAATAGGTTTAATCCCATACCCCTGTTATATGATTTACTTATCAAACTCCTTATTCAAATGCTAAATTAAAATTAAACAGCTTGAATCATCCGCACAAGGCAACCATGTAAACTTTCTTAACAGTTTTATAACATCCCTTCTACTAACCTTCTATGGTATAATATGTATTTCCATGCCTTCTGAAGTTTTAGTAGAATTTAAACATCACTGAGAACCTCTAACTAAACTCTCAGTTGCCCCTGGAAACCCATTAACCCAAGCACAGTAGCTAGCAGTCTCGCAAAAAACCAAAAAAAATGAAAACCCACAAAAGAGCCGGCTCCACCCAAAGTGGAGTCGCCTCCACTACCAAGTAGAGCCTGCTCCACTTTTTAATTGAGCCTGCTCTACTTGAAATAGAGCAGGCTCCTTCCCCTGTGCGTCGTTTTTCCAATTCCGGCTGTGTTGATCCTCCAAACCAAATTTCTTGCTGATTAAAATTAAGTCCTTGGGTGTTCAAAAGTTAATTAACTTCCTTGATTAATAATCACGTTCAGTGGGAACAAGAATTAAAAATAATAATTTAAAAACGATTAACATGCACCTAAAAGAAAACATACTGTTCAACTTCTTCTCCAACTCCGGCAACTTCGTTCCTCCAACCCAAGTTTCTTGTTGATTTAAAACTAAGTCCTAGGGTATTCCAGAGTAATTTAAATTCATCATTCATTAATTGAATTCAATTGGAACAAGAGTTACACAAAACATCTCCTAAGTGGATTAAAATCCATACAAGAACACACACTGTTTCAGGTATCTAGCCCTGCGTCCCAGATTAATTTTAAGATTTCCCATTATGTTTTAGAACTATTAAAATTCTTAATCCATCAATTGACATCATTAAAATCATGAATGAAGTAAAACAAAACAGTAAAACAACAACACTGTAAAACAAACAATTTAACAGATCATAAACATATGTTTATTAAACAATGCAAGCATGCGAACCAGATTTGTTTTAATCCTTATTTCATCCTGAGATTGTGTTAGGGATGTAAAGAACACAGGTCAAAGAGGTAGAGCTAGTTATAAAACTTGCCTGTGAGACTCGGTTCAGAAATCTCAACGTCTTTCTTCTAAGTTTTCCCGGCGCCCCTTTGGTTTTCCTCCTCTCTGTTTCTTCTGTCTCCATAACATGGTTAGGGTTCTAAACCCTTGACCGCCTTATACAGATATATTTATAGGTTTATAAGTTTACACAAAACCCTAGTTTAATTTAAACCCTAAACTAAATCCTTAGTCGGCCCATATGAAACCTAATTAATGCTT